TTTGTGAAATACTCCCTGTATTCCGGCCCTGAACTGTGCATTTCACGCCTGCTGTTTCCTCGACTCCCTGTAACCCCCGAGGACAGTAGCAGCTGCCACAGCGACAGCACCAGCCAACCTTGTACTGTGCTGCTGGGCCCTGTCACCTTTCTCAGCCGTTTACGCATATTAGCTGTTTTGGAGCTTCACGATACTTCCGTGAGGCTCGTGCAGATATCCTCAACTTGCAGATGAGGAAACTGAGGCACAGAAAAGATCTATAACTTGCCACACACAAGGCAGAGCCAGGAGCGGGGAGGCGTTAGAGGCTGGCTGCCCTTGGACATGGACCCGGACCAAGATATCACTCCTGCCTCCCTTGAGCATGCCTCTGGGGGGGGGGGGTGTGCGGGCTGAGGGAGGGGCGTCCAGGCTCAGAGAAGGGGTGAGGGGAGAAGAGGGAGGATGGGAGCCAGAGGAAGGTGAGGGTCTGCAGGGGTAGTGCTTCCGGGGGGGGGAGGGGCACTGCGGGTGACATTGCCCTGCCAGAGTGGCCGCGTGGCCCTGGAGCTGAGAGCGGGTGGGGGTCCCAGGGCCCCGATATGGTGGGGCTGGGTGACTGGGTAAAGGGAGGCAGAGACTGACTCGTTGGTGTCAAGGAAGTGACAAAATTCTGTCCTCCCTGAGAGCAATCCCCTGTTGGCCACTCCCTTCTGGAAGCATTCGTGGGTCTGGCTGCTGTGGACCTACCTACGCTCCTCCTGGAAGTTCCGTCCTCCATGTTGCCCGAGATTTACGTACCGCCCCCCCCCCCCCCACCGCCAGCCCAACCCATGGCCTTCACTACCCTCCCTGGGACGAGGGCGCCACACCGCCATCTTCACCCAGACAGCTGTCCTGCCCACCTGAAACTCCCCTGTGGCTCCCCGCTGGGTTAAGAATGAAGTTAGGGGACACCTGGGTGGCCCAGTCGGTTGAGCGTCTGACCTCGGCTCAGGTCAAGATCTGGAAGTTCGTGAGTTCAAGCCCCACATCGGGCTCTGTGCTGACAGCTCAGAGCCTGGAGCCTGCTTCCGATTCTGTATCTCCCTCTCTCTCTCTCTCTGCCCCTCCCCTGCTTGCACTCTCTCTCTCTCTCTCTGTCTCTCAAAAATAAATGAAAATGTTAAAAAATGAAAAAATAAGAGAATGAAGTGAAAGCTTGGACCCATGGTCCCCATTGCCTCTGCAGATCGGATTCTAGCTCCAGCCTGACCGTCTGGGCTCATTTCGGATTCCTCCAGCCAAACCCAGCTGCCCTGTCCCTGAATGGGCTTTACTTTCCTAAGTGTCTTTGAACATGATGTTCACCCGACCTGGGATAGGCTCTCTGCCCTCCTAGCCCAGCTAGTTCCTGCTCAGCGCCAGAACCGCCTCCTCCAAGAAGCCTCCACTGACCTCCCAGGCTGGGTTTGCTGCATCCTCTGGGCAGATTGTGGTTCCTTGTCAGTAACTGAAGAGCTGCAGGTTGGAGGGAAGACAAGGCCTTGACAGTGGCCTTGAGACTGAGGCTGCTCAGGTCTGGAGGTCCTGAGAAAGGTCTGGGCTGGAGACAGCCAAAAGCCAGGGAAGAGAACTCAGGGTTGTCACAGGTAGAAGGTGAAGGAGAGCTGGGGACAGACCCTGGGACCTCCGGCATTCGAGGGCTGGGTAGAAGAAGAGAACACAGAGTTCTCAGCAGGAGGGGAAAGAAAGATGGCACCCAACGAACCACTTCCAGCATTAGAGCCCTGGTGTTGTCCCCTCCCCTTGAACCTGGGCTGGCTCTGTGACTTGTCTTTGACGAATGTGATGGAAGCGATACCACAGCACCTTCAAGCCTCAGTCTTAAGAAGTCTGTAGATTGCACCTGCGTCTCTTGGGGAAGTCGACGCCATGAAAGAAGTCACATTACAGGTTTCCCTGAGGCCGCCATACTGTGAGGAAGCCCTAGCTGGCCACATGGAGAAAAGGAGACGCCGTCCAATGGCTCCCCAGGTGTCACAGCCATGCCAGCTGAGGCAGCAGACATGAGTGAGGAGGCCATCTTGGATGTCCAATCCAACTGAGCCTTCAGATGACCCCGGCCCCACCACCATTTGACAGCAAAGGCAGAAAAGACACCATGAAAACTGCCCGGTTGAGCCCAGTCTGCCCACAGGACCATGAGTGATCATGAAAAACTTGTCCTAAGCCATTAAGTTTGTGGTAATTGATTATACAGCGATACGTAATCGCAACAGTTGGTAATTTGGTGCCTAAATAGCGTCTGTGGCAGACATTATCGTCCCCATTTAACAGATGGGGAAATGAAGCCCAGAGAGGGATGTGACTCAGTGAGGTTTATGGAGCCAGCTGGAGGCAGCAGTTGGGGTTTGAACCCAGGCAGGCACGTCTGGCACCTCAGGCCATGCTCTTTCCATAGCGCATCCCGGGCTGCCTGAGGCCAAACCTTGCAGCCACGTTGCATGGCCAAATTCCCTGTGCGACACGTTACTGGGTTTTCCACAGGGTAACTCACCTGGGCACCTGCTGGAACCCTAGCTTTTTTTTTTTTTTTCAATTGACACATGATTCACATGCAGTCAAATGCACAAATGACCAAGTGCACAGCGTGGAACATTTCTACCTGCGTGTACACGCATGTGGCCACTACGGAGGTCAAGATCTTCAACATTTCCAGCACCCCAGAGATTTCCCTTGTGATCACTGCTAGCCCATGTCCATCCCTGGCCCGGAGGCACCCGCTGTTCTGCTGACTGCCACCACAGTGACAGTTTGGCCTTGAACTTCACATACACGGAATCATACAGCAGGTGCTCTTTTGCGTCTGGCTCCTTTTACTCAACATTGTCTAGAAGTCTCATCCGTGTGTTTACGTGTAGCGGTAATTCTTTTCTTATTGGCGCGTAGTATTCTAAAGTATGAACGGACCACGATCTACTCGTTCATTCAGTCACTGGTATTGTTTTCAGACTTGGGCCCTACTATGAAATTGATGCAGATGTGACCCGTCATTTTGTGGAATGAAGCACTCATTTCTCTTGGGTGTGTATGTGGAGGTAGAAATGCTAGCTTGCAGGCTGGTACGTGTCACTTTATAAAGGACCGTCGTTTCCCACTGCGCTTGTGTGAACAACCCTCCCATGGGCAGGGAGTGTGTGAGATTCTCCACAAGTCCGCTGACACTTGGTGGCAGGTCTTTCCTTCTGTGTTCTTCCAGCAGAGGGGATGCTATGTCACTGGAGAGAGAGGGACAGGGCCTGAGCAGGGGAGGGGCAGAGAGAGAGAGGGAGACACAGAATCCGAAGCGGGCTCCAGGCTCTGAGCTGTCGGCACAGGGCCCGACGTGGGGCTCGAACTCACGAACTGTGAGCTCACGACCTGAGCCGAAGTCGGACGCTCAACCGACTGGGCCACTCAGGCACCCCATCTATGTCACTGTTTTTAAGTCCCTGCGGTGGGGCACCCTTTCCCACATTGGCCCGATCGTCTAGCTTGTCCTGGAGGCTGAGGAGGGGGCGGCTGGGAGGCAGGCACCTAGGAGCACATTGCCACAGCCCAGGTGCTAGATGGGGGACCCCGGGTGGGGCTAAGGTGGTCCCGGAGGCCGAGGATGGAATGGAGCGATGTCAGGAAGGCTGGCGGGAGGCAACAGAGCATGGGGCAGGTGGGCAGGGGGCCGGTCTGGTGTCAGCCATCTGGAGCCTGGGGCAGCCTGTGGCTGACATCCCTTCTCTGAGTGGCTCAAGGATGCTCCTTATCTCGTGAGAAAGTCTCAAACCAGGGCGGTCGCAGGGCTGGGTGATTTCGATGGCTCAGGGCTCCCGGTCCTTCCTTCTTTCCACTTGGCCGTTTTTAGCAGATCGATGAGGCAAAATGGTGGCACCATGGGGACTTCACCCAACACCACCCGAGGGCAGAGAGAGAGAGGCTTCCCTTTCTTGTGCCCTCTTTCAAGAAGGAACACCTCCCAGATGAGCCCCTCCACCCCCCACTCAAGTCTTCCCCTGGCGACTCACTAGCTGGACCCGGGCCCATTCCTAAGCCCATCACAGGCCAGGGAACAGACGTCTTCCCCACAAGCCACATGGCTCCTCCCCCTGGAGGGTCTTTCTCTCAACACACCAGGGACGTTCATAGGGCATCTGCTCCTGCTGTTCCCTCACCTGGAATGCCCTTCCTGATTTTTCCATCAGGAAAAGACAGATTTCAAAGCCACCTCCAGAAGTCCTCTCCCATCTGTGGGCTGGGTGGGGGCCTCCCCTGGGTGCCCACAGCCTCTGGGACCCAACCTGGTTTTGTGTCCTCAGTGGGGGCAGGGCCAGCCCTTGTTCGGCTTCCCCGGTGCCCGGCCTGGATTGATGGGGAACGCCGCGGGGGGGTGTGGCCAGCTCACCTGCCCTCCCATCTAAGCTACAGCCCTGCAGGTGGGACAGCCGGGGCTGGCCCTGGGGTGGCCGCACCCACCACCCGCTCCCACCTTGCCCAGGGCTGGACGTGACCTCTGGGCGCAGCCTCAACAAAGGACTGAGGCTGAAAGGCACCCATCTGACAGCAAAGCAAATGGCGGCTCAGGGAGGGGACGTGGCCGGCCCCAGGTCGTCAGGGACAGAGCCCCAGCTCCCCCTCCTCTTTCCAAGGCCTGGGCCTAGCGCCCCCTCCGGGTGAATTGTGGGGGGGGGCCCCCCCGCACAGTGCAGATTCTGACTCAGTGGGCTGGGGCAGGGCCGGACTGGGGAGTTGCTAACCGGCTCCCTGGTGACCTGGTTTGCGGGGTCTGCAAACCACACGGTGGCGTCGCAAAGCCACAGCCTCAATGGAAGACCCAGATTCTCAGCTCCGCCCTCAGAGCCCACAGGCCACCCTTCAGGAAGGGTGGAGGGCCCGGGGTGAGGCGGGGGGGGGGGGGGGGGGGGGGGGGGGGGGGGGGAGTGTGGGTGGTTTAGCCCCGACCTCCACGAACCAACCCGCCCCCACCCCAGCCACGCTGGACGCCAGAGCTGCGGGATCATTTTATTAAGTTAAGAAGGCTCACGGAGCAGGAGAGAAACGCCTTCCCGGGGCGGCTCCGGCGGTGCCACGCCCGGCACCCCCTCAGAGGAGGCGGTGGCACCCCCTCAGAGGAGGCGGTGAAGCCTTAGGGACAGCTGCCGCCCCCCTCTGCCCGTCTGTCCCTCTGCCCAGAGCCCCAAGGTGTGGGTCCCCTCGGGGCCGGAAGTAGTTAGTGGGAGGTAGGGTAGGAAGAGAGTGGCTGGCTCCCTGCCTCTCCCACTGGAGTCAAGGCTGCCACACCGCCAAGGCTGCGCCTCCGCTAGACCCCCCGAGGGGCAGGGCCCAGAAGCCAGAGCCCCATGGCCGGAGGCAGCTGGAGGCAGAGGGGAGCCGGTGACGGAGGCACACGGCCTCCAGGAATTGTTTCAAAGTATAAAGTGTTCTGAAGGGAAGGGAAAAAGGAGAAAAATCTATATAAAAATCTCTTCACATATAAAATCCTGAAGAAGGTGCAAAAGGTAAGACCCAGTGCGAGGGGTGCGCTCAGATACGCAGAGTGTGTGTGTGTGTGTGTGTGTGTGTGTGTGTGCACGCGTGTGTGCGTGTGCGTGTGTGTGGTGGGGACAAGTGCACGTGGGGCCCACGGCGGATGGGGAGAAAGCTTGGCTTCTGACTTCCGTCCAGCAGGAAGGAGGGCGACTGGCGGGTCCCCTCAGGCTGCGGCGGGGAGGGGGGCACGTCTGCCGCGGGGCTGGGCCACCAGGACCTGTAGAATGAGAGGGAGCGGCAGGCTCAGGCCAGGCAAGGGCGGCCCCCACGGCTGGGCCCCAGGCCTGCTGCTCCGGGCCTCCCACCACAGGGCGGCCTCCCCTCAGCATCTCGGGAAGTCCACCCGGACTGCTCAGAAAGCAGCGGCTCTGGGGGCGCCCAGGGGCCTCCGCCGACTTGGGCTCAGGTCACGATCTTGCGGTTTACAGGTTCGAGCCCCGCGTTGGGCTCTGTGCTGACAGCTCAAAGCCTGGAGCCTGCTTCGGATTCTGTGCCTCCCTCTCTCTCTGCCCCTCCCTTGCTCGCTCTCTCTCAAAAATAAGTAAACACTAAAAAAATTTTAAAAAGAAAAAGAAAAAGCTGCTGTTCCAGGTAGACCTGGCATTAGGAAAGTCCCCATAGAAACGCTCCGGAGCCTGGTACGTCAGAGATGAACGTAAGACGAAGTCGGGGGCCAGGCGCCATCCGTGATGTCAGAGGCATGGAGCTCGGGGGATGCAGCGCCGTGGCTGGTTAGGGACGAGGGGCATGTGCCAAGCTGCGGGCCTGAGGTGGGCCCAGCACCCTGGGTGGGTGTGGGCTCTTCAGGCTGAGGGTGTGGCACAGCTGGCTGGCACGTGGGGGGGACATGGCAATGACCGGGTCCTGAACTGCGCCTCCCTGCCCTTGGAGAAACACGCCCAGGGAGACAAAGCGCCTTCCGGCTGAGTCGGACTGACTCCGCAACAAGCCCAAGGACCGTGCTGTCGCTAGGGCTGCTGTCCCCGTGCGGGAAAGGGAAACAGAGCCCACGAGAAGGGAGTGCCCCAGGCCAGCAGGCACAGCCATGCGGATGAGCGTTGGGCTCACACCTCCAGGCCCGGCGCCCAGCTTGGCCTTGCTCCTGCCCGGCCGTGCCCGCCCCGCGGCGCCTACCGTCACTCAGCCAGGCTATTGCACATCGATTCCTTCTCCTGCAGGGCGGCCGTGGCGAGGCGCAGGTGCTCCTTCAGCTGCTGGATCTCCCGCTCCAACCGTGTCTTGATGTGGTTCACCTCGTTGTACACATCCTGGTACTTCCCCGACGTGAAGCGCTTGTCCTGGGGGGGGCGCCGAGGGGCGGTGAGACCATGAAGCCTTCCCTGCCTGGCACTGCCTACCTGGCACCTCACATACATGCTCTCTGCACAGAGCAGCCAGGCCCCTGCACAGCCCTATGGCCCTGCCCCTCGCGGTGCCCCTCCCCCAGCCCCAAGCACGCCCATCCCCCCCCACCCCAGCACCGCCTGCTGAGGCTCCAGGATCATTTTCATCTCCCGAGACAGAGGGAGGCAAAGGTTTTGTCTAAGACCACTCGGCAGTGAACCCGAAGCCTCGGGCCCTTTCCGTGAGTCTGCCTCATACCTGCTCACGGAGCCATCAACACACAGAGGGCGTCAAAGACTCAGGGAGCGGCACCAGGCAGGCCGGACTCACAGCCCGGGGGCCCAAATCTGGGCCCTCCCCACAGCAGGCCGTGCTGCTTCCTCATTGGCACGCAGTCTCCAGCCCACGGGGACCTGGGCCTTTTTCTGTTCACGGCCGTCTCCCATGCTCCGAGCACAGTGCCCAGCACACAGCAGGTGCTCAGTAAATATTTGCCGAATCAATAAAAGCAAGCGCGGCCTGGGGCAAGTCACTGACCCTCTCTTCGCCTGTTTCTTTGTCTGAAAATAGGGACAGGGACACCTACGTGAGAAGAGGCCCAAGGAGAGCCAGGACATGCGGAGGCAAGGAGTGTAGGAAAGTGCCTGGCACAGAGCGGGTGCTCACAGGCGGGTCCAGGGGCTCCCTCCCCAGCGGCCCCCGCTCAGGCCCTACCTTCTGCAGCATCTGCAGCTCATCCCGCAGGCACTGCACCTCCTTCTTCAGGTACTGGAGCTCGTTCTCCTTCACCCGCAACAGCACCTGGGGTCAGGGGCGCCAGGCTGACACAGGGCCAAAGGCCAGGGCCACCCTGGCCCACAACACCCTGCAGCCTGGCTTCTCTCTGCCTCAGGGCCCTAGGAGGCAACTCCCAGCCTGCACCAAGACCCACCGTGCCTCCGTGGGCAGGCTCCTCCAGGAAGCCCTCTCTGATTTCTCCTTGCCCCTTGCTCACCTCCAGCTCACAGGAGCTCCGCTCGCTGCTGCGTCCACAGCCGTCACTGGTGCCCTGCGAGGCGATGAAGCCGCGCAGCCGGTCAATCTCCTCCGACAGGTGGGCGTGCAGCTCCTGGGAGGCGTGGGACGGTCAGCACGGGGACGACAGACCGCCGTCCCCAGAGCCCCGCTGCCCCTGGGCCAGGCTCACCTGGTTGTGGCGCAGCAGCTTCTGGCCCTCCTGCTGGCAGCGCCGCAGTGTGTGCTCACGCTCCTCCGCCTGCTGGGTCAGGGCCTCGATCTCCAGGCACTTCTGTGAGTACTGTTCTGACAGCACCTGCAGCTCCCGCTTCAGCGCCGCCACATCTGACCTGCCCGGGGCGGAGGAGGGCAAGGACGGCGTGGGACTCAGCTCAAGACAGACCAAAGCAGCTCCAGACTCCGGGTTCCCACCCCGGTTTTGCCTTCAGGCCTCTGGGACCTGGTGACAGCCTCTCTGGGCGGCAGGTGCCTCCTGGATGAGGGGCTGGGTTAAGCCTCGAAGGCCTCCCGGGCCCTAACACTCCACAACTGCGCTCTGTGGCCGGGGGGGACACCTACCGGCCAAAGGCGGTACTGCAGCCCCGCTCTAGGGGACACTAACCGGAAGTGGAGGTGGAGACCAGCGAGTCAGGAAGGGGTCTGAAGAGCTATTTACGTGGACTGGCACAGGGGTGTGGCTGAGGCCCGCCGCTTCTGTTCCCTGTGCCAAGTGACTAGATCGGGAGTCTCAGCTGGGAGCAAAGTGAGGGGCCTGAGCACAGGTTCCCGCCTCATCCACACCAAGCCCTCAGCTCAGAAAGAGGCCCCGCCCACAGGCCCCAGGGGCCGGGGGCCAGCTTACTGGTGCTGCTTGCGAAGGCCATCTGGACCCTGTTGGAGGCTCCGCGTCTTGCTCAGTTCTTGGCTCAGCTCCTCCTGGTAGGCCTTCTTCACGGCCTCGATGGCTGCAGGCAGGGCAGAGGCAAGGAGGGATCTTGGGGGGAGGGGTCGGCAACGGTAAGCCCGACCTTCTCCAAGGCCCCACAGGTACCATGCAGGCAGAAGCAAAGAACACTGGACCAGGCCATATCCGGCCCTGAGTGGCTTTGGGTACGTTGCTAGACCTCTCTGAGCCATCTATCAAGGGAGGATGACAATCCCTGTCTGATGGGACAGTGCTGGGGAGACACCTCAGCATCTGACCACTGGCACCTCTTGTCAGTGATATCCAGGTTAAGACCCCACACAGCTCACCATCCCTACAGAGCCTGGAGGGCTCTTCAACAAGGCCCAGCTCCCTCGCCCAGCCTGGAGGTCAGGAGCGCAGGGGCTGCTGCAGCCGGTACAAATCCGTGCAGCTTTACGCAGGGCACTTAACCCCTCTGGGCCTCCGGTCCCTTGCTGGGAAGCAGGGATGCCAACAGCACCTTCTCTCGTCGGTTACTGGAAGAGGCATGTGGAGCACAGAGAGCCATGCTCGGCCCAGAGTAAACGTCCAGTAAACGCTCCCGTTGGCTTATTTTTCAGGCTGTGAGCAACCAAGGACCCAGGGTTTCCACACCCACGCAGCGTTACTGAGAGGCTTAAGCGAGCCCCCATCCATAATCTTCTCCGTAATTCTAAAATCCGAAGGCTCTGAACACTGAACGTTTTTCATAACTTTTGGTGGCAATCCCGGACCCGACCAGATGCAGGGCTTTTGCGGACATTCTCAGCCGACGTAAGCATGACTCTGGGAAATTTCTCTGTAAAAACCTTAGGGCTAGATTTTAGGGGAAAGTCCAGACTCCTGCTGGGAAGGATGTACTCAGTTATCTGCCTAAAATACAAAACACAGCAGCCCCGGGGTTTGCGACGAGGGGCCATGGGCCCAAGCGTGGGAAGCACGTGGCATAGAGCTGGCAGGTGGGAAAGTTCTCGATCCCGTGACTTCTCTCACCCTTTCCGTTACTCTGCAGATCCCACGGGAGCGCCTAGGAGGGGCCTGGCCCACCCCGCAGGTGCGCAGGGAACATGGGGAGGAAGGGAGTTGCCCAACATCTCGGGAACCCGTTTCTGGCTTGGGAGAGCAGGGGGTGGCGTTCAGGGCACGGCTTTGCAATCAGGGTGCTCTGAGCTCCAATCCCGGCCCTGCCGTCTCCAGGCTGTGCCACCCGGGACAAGTCACTGACCTCTCTGAGCCTGTTTCATCATCTGCCCCTCCGGCAGGCACTGCAAGGGCTAAGGGTGCTCACGTGGGGAACGGGGCTTGGCAAAAGGTCATGCCTCTCCTCCTGCTCTCCCTAGGGTCCAGCCCTCTCACCCGGGGAGACGGCACTGCTGTGGCTGAGCAGTCTCCACCCCCGGTGCACACCTGGGGTGGGAGCTGGAGCTCAGTGGGTGCGTGCGGCTTGGGGCAAAATCCCCAGTGGCTGCAGGCCCCTGAGGGAGAGGAGTCACAACCAGTGGGACAGTGGGGTGGGGGGGAACCTTCTATTGCCTTGGTTTCCCCTTCTCAAGTAGGAGCAGAGGCCAGCTCTGGCGGTTCCAACCCCTCCTGATGCCTTTCCCCAGGTCTGGCACCGAAACCCCGTCTCTTATGGAAGGTCCTCCCTGAATCAGCGAGGAGCCACAGCTGGGAGGCTCATGGGGCGCAGGGTCCTCACCCGAGGCCGTGGCTGCCGTCTCCTCGGCCAGGAGCCACTCCTTCTCCTGCTGCAGCCGCTGCAGCTCCCGCTCGTGATGCCGCTGCAGCTCCTCCATCACCTGCTGGTGCGAGGACTCCATCTCGGCCAGGCTGCGCTCGCACGCCTCCTGTGGGCGGGAGGCCAGCACGTCCCAGGGCTGCCCCCACCGCCCAGGACAGGGCCCCCCCTTCCCCAGCCCGGGGCGGGGAGCCTCAGGGGCAGGCTTCTCCACCTCTCCTCCCTGGACCCCGGCGCCAGCGGCCGCACCTGCCTCTGCTCCCCCAGTCCACAAACCTCACCCTGCCACTCTCCTTCTTCAAACCTGCTGAGGCTCCTGTCCTGCGGGGTCAAGTCCCTGCTCCCTGGTCCCACCCTGATGGCCTCAGGCGGGACCTTTCCCCACCAAGGAGCTCCAGGTGTATGGCATGTTCACATCTCTGAGCTTTTGCTAAGACCAAGCCCTCTGCCTGGCACGTTCTTCTGCAACTTTCTCTTGGCCTGCAGCCCAGCTCAACGTCCTCCCTGCTCTGCCTCTGGACAGTCCCTCCCCTGCCTCCAAAGGCTCTGCTTCTGCTGCGCTAGAAGTTCTCCAAAGACAAGGAAGCCCTGATCTAGCTCGCAGTCCCCGGGCTGGACGAGGGCCTGACACGGGGCAGGTGCTGAGTAAGTGAACTGAAATGGACATCACAACAGAGGCCCCGGAGACAGGAGTGGCAAGTCTGTAGAAGGCTGCCAATACCCGCTGCTTGAGAGAGTCAGCTGTGCCGGGTGTGCGGAGGGCGGTTTGGTGGCATCCTCACATTTTTAGCAACCCCATCCCTTGACGTAGCAGCAAGTCACATGTGTACAAAGACTTGCGGATGAGCGCATTCCCTACGGTAAGGCTGGTAACAGATGAAAACAGGAAACGATCTTAAATCCCTAACCAGGGAGCCCTTAAATAAATGATGGGATCGAGCCTTACAAAGGCTCCCGACAGCTGGTGAAGGACAGAGCTGCCCACGTGGGCTGTGTGGAAAGGCGCGTCCCAAAAGTTAGGCGGCACAAGCCGGTCTCTGACAACACGTATTGTGCAGTCCCCCTCGTGAAATAGAAAACAGAGCCATGCATCCGAGTATGTGTATGTTACACACAGAAAAAGCTATGGAAGGGTACCATGGGAGGCAGGGCAGTGGCGCCCACAGATGTCCATGCCCTACTCCCTTGAACCTCTGAATGTGTCACCTTACGTGGCAGCGGAGAATTGAGGCTGCTAATCAGCTGACCTTAAAATAGGGAGACTGTTCTAGATTACATTCTGTACCCAAGGGGGTCCCGGGGTCCTGGGATGTAGAAGAGTAGGTAGGAGGGCAGAGAGGGAGAAGTGACCACAGAAGGTCAGGGATGGGAAGTGGGAGGGACCAACCTCTCTATCGCAGGCTTTGAGGATGAAGGGAGGGGCCAGGGGCCAAGGAGCACAGGTGGCCACAAGCCACCAGAAAGGAAACGGGCCCCACCTGGAGCCCAGCAAGATCATGTTAGGCCGCTACCCTTCCAAACCCTGAGATGGTAACTCGGGTTCTTTAAGGTTGTGATACTTTGTTTCAAGAGCAATAAGACTTGATTTGTTTGAATTAGTTTTGAAAATGGAAACCTGTTTTTTCCGTATTTAAATTTAAGATCATTACGAAGCGAAGGGGAAGAGCCCCAGAAGAAATCGAAGCAGAGGCCCAGATACGCCCCCTGATACCATGGGGCACGGTGGGTGGGGACCGACCCCACCTGTCCAGTAGCCACGCAAGAGGGCCATCAGGGCCAGTTTGGGGGAAGGGCAAGGGCAAGGCCTCCTGGCTGCAGGTGTTCTGAGCGGGAGGCCAAGGAACGTCTGTCCCTCTGCATGCGTCCTCTGGGTGCCTCCAGTTACAACAACACAACATGGCTTTGGCGTTCCACACACTGGGGCCAGAGCCTCGCTGTACCGGGAGTGAACCTGAACGAGCCCCTTCCCCACTCTGAACCAGGGTCCTCATCTATAAAAGAGGCCCATAAGGCCAACTCATGAGGGTCCCTAAGATAAACCCACCTACAGAGGTGGGAGCAGCACAGGGGGCGGGGACTGATGATGTTCTCTCAGGGCCGGGCAGACCCGGCAGCTAATGGGGGCCCAGAGGCAGGAACCAGACCACGAGGGGGGGCTCCTAGAATGCTGTTCCCTCTGACTCATCTTCCCGAGGGCCCAAGGAGTCCAGCAATCCCCTATGCTAGGGATCAAAGCAAATAAAGGAATGCCTAGAACTTCCCCTACGACGGGCTGCCGGGACCCCCCCCAGCTGCCGTCCTGTAGACACAAGCCCCACACGCTACAAGAAGATACCAGAATGAAGATACCAGGTTGGGGAGTTCATCCCCAGCTGTCCGCTCTCCAGGGTCTGCTGAATCCCCAGCCACCTCCTGATGGGCCGGAGAGGGGACACGCACGGCTCAGCTCCTCTTCTCTGCCACCCTCCACATCCGGGGCCCCTCCACCACCCCCGTCTTCGGCTCTGTTTCCTCACCATTCCCTTCCCACCCCTCCCCCAGCTCCGTCTGCACCATTCCATCCCAACCTAACAGGACGAAACCCTGACAGCCTTTATGGTGACCAGTGGCCCCATGGGGACCAGGAAGCCTGGATGGCAGGCACAGGTCTGCCTCCCGCTTGAGGGGCTCACCTCCTCTCTGGGCCCCCGATTTCCCCTTCTATAAGCCGAGAAGTCAGAGCAGTGCTTTTCAGACTTCCTTTTAGTGGCAGAAAATTTTCCCAAAGGAAATCTAATGCAGGGTCTAACAGTAAAAGAGACATTGGGGCGCCTGGGTGGCTCAGTCAGTTAAGTGTCTGACTGGCTCAGGTCATGATCACACGGTTTCTGGGTTCGAGCCCCGTGTTGGGCTCTGTGCTGACAGCTCAGAGTCTGGAGCCTGTTTCAGATTCTGTGTCTCCCTCTCTTGACCCTCCCCTGCTCATGCTGTCTCTCTCTCTGTCAGAAATAAAAACATTAAAAAAAAAGAGAGACAAGTCTGCTCCGACACCCCTGGCTACGAGTGGACCCACCCAGAAAGGCAGCCCCTGGGGCATCCAAGTTCAAAGCCCTCTGGGCAGGGGTTTCTGAGGGTGTCCCAGCTCAGAGGTGTTAGGCCTCACCCAGCCCACTGCGTCCTCTAGCCTCCAGAGAGCCTTTGACAACATGGTCCTCCCCCCCCATACCCCCTCCCTATGTCAGGTGGCCCCAAGGCTAGGCTCCCCTCCCCCAATCGGGTCCTAACTCCCCTTGGCCCTGGTTCAATGCTCCACCCACCACTGGGTCCCAGAGCTCCCTGGCCTTACACAGCCATCCAGCCTCAGGGCCCCTGGGGGCCCTCCTCTGCCTGCTTTGGGCCCACTCACCCAGTCCTGACCTCTGCTCCCCGCACCCTCCTACAGCCCTCACCCCTTCAGTCACTGTCCTAGGTCCTGACTGGCCCTCGCCCTCCCAAGAGGCCCTCCACCCTGACCCCACTTTACCCACGTCACTGTCAGACCCCAAATCTCTTCAGGTCTGCAGAATGAGATTCCAACTCTTTGGCTTGCTGGCAGTCTCCACCGCAGACCCCCATCAGCCCCCAACTTCTGACCCCAGCCCGTGCTCCCGCCCCAAACCAGTGCTCTGCACAAGGCCTGCCCCCCACAGGAAGCCGGCCCGAGAGCCCCCCACACAGCGACCACTAATCCTGGAGCTTCTAGAAGGCCCCCTACCCGGACCCTAGGATCCCAGCACTCTTTTCTACTCTAGCCAATGGCAAACTGACTACAGGCAGCTGATGGTCATACCTTTGGCAATTTTGTGACATGATTCAGTGTAGCCATTTTGAAAGTTAAAGTATATGAGCTTACAATTAACCACATTAAAAACAAAAGGTGATACTCATGCATCGCTTCCTAATTATTTCACTGTATTTTATTATTGTTTGTGATCTTGAGATTTTTTTTTTTTTTAAGATTTTATTTTTAAGCGATCTCTATACCCAATGTGGGGCTTGAACTCATGACCTCGAGGTCAAGAGTCACACGCTCCACTAACTGAGCCCGCCGGGCACTCCTGTGCTCTTGAGTTTATTTACATCTTCTGTACCTTGGAAGGTAGAAACGCTCTACGTGCACATGTATCTTCCCAATTCGGTGTTCAGGGACGTCAGCCATAGTGGGAGTATTTACACCATGGAAATGGGTAAACATGGCCAAGTCAGGGCTTGACGTATCATTTTGTTGACTGTCCGGACTTAAGCAAGGGACGAGAAAATGCTAAGGGTGCAGATTAAACTTCCAAGGGTGCCACATTCCGGAGCGTGACATTGTAACTAGAACACAGACCTGAGAAAAGACTCTAAATGGAATATTCTCAAAACTGTCATCCAATTCGACCAAGAAGCTGCTTGTGACACTGATCAGCTACAGTTTTGACGTATATCTTTTTGTTTTACTCGTTCACATAGACAAAGCTGTCAGCCGACACCTGCGCGTTAGAGCGACACTCGCTTGTTGGTTAGCTGTGCACACAGGCGTTCAGAAAAACCAGTGAAAATCAAAGTCGATTCCGAGAAAAGTCAAGTTGCTATACGTGCAATTCACAAGACAAGCTATATACTTTGTACTTGTACACAGCTGTCCTGCATCTACTTTAGATCAGTAAGCTGGACATGTACGTTAGCGTGTAATGTGTTTTTCTGCCAGACCGTTACCAGACCAATATCGCAGGCGGATGGGGTGTCCCCTGGGGGCTGCTGGAGGCTCCCACATCCCACGGGCCACCCGGTGCAGGGCCTCGGCCTGGGAAACGGGGGCAGGGTTTCCCTGTGCTCAGGGAGGGACCCTGGGGGCCTGCCCGTTGGGGATCCCACTCCTCACTGGCTCTCCTTCCCCAGGGTGGCATGGGAGAAGGGGTCCAAGTGCAGTGTCCCATGGGAGCTCACACAGGCTCTGCAGTCAGCCGGAACCGACCTCAAATCCCACCTCTGACATCTGCAGCTCGGTTGGCCTCGGGCAAGTCACATAACCTCTCATAGCTCAGTGGGCTTATCTGTAAAATGGGCACAGTGATCGTGTCTGCCTGCTGGGTACGTTCAACGAGATGATGCATACACGATGCCTCACACGGGTCCCGCTATGCTCCCAGATCAAGCTGTTTTCGGAAACCACGGCAAGCAGAAGCCGGCCCAAAGCTCCCACCGAACCACCCCTCGGCCTCACCTGGGAGATGTAGCCCGGGGGGATGTGGCCGTCCTCCTGGGACCTGGGTGCGCTCGGAGGAGCCTCTCCTTGAAGGCGCCAGGCCTCCAGCTGGGCGCGAAGGGACTGGACCTACCGGGGAGGGAAGAGGCGAGGTCAGGGTAAGCCTCAAAGCCAGGGAGGGGCTGGCGGTCGGAGAAAGGGAGGTGGCCTGCGGTGGAAATGCAGGCAAAGGGGGACTTCCAGCACTTTCCCGGATGGCCAGGTTGGTGACCCAGGAGAACTTTGTCCCAGAGAAGACTAACCAGGGTTGGAAGCAGGACACCGCGGTCCCAGATCGTTATCACATTTATGCAGGTGGCGGGGAGACTCTGCGCCTCAGTTTCCCACCAGGACAAGGTCTACCGTCTGGGACCACGCGACCGCTGTGAGGATTGCATGAGCCACTGTAGGTAAAGAAGGCCTAGGGTACGGTATTCAGAAGATGCTTAATAAGTGCTCTCTCCCTCCTCTTTGGTTGCTGAGGACAAAACTAAGGGGGGGGAACCACCCCAAAACAAGAAACACCAAGGTCCAGGAAACAAGATTCCAGTTCATAAGAGTGGGGTACCCCACAGTGAATCAGGGGTGCGCTTCCCATTACTTTAGGTATGCAAGAGAAATGCCACAGCATGACTGCGGGGACAGGAGGGGCGCTGGGGTGGGTGGGGTGAGGGGGCTCCCTGAGGCCGGCCCTGACGCCTACCTCCTTCTCCAGTGCCTCATGGCTGTCACCCGGAGGCCCGCGGCGCTCCCCGCAGCTTTGGTTGAGCAGGGCGGTGAGAGGCACCCGCTTGTGCTCCCGCAGGGGCAGCTTCTCCAGCTCCTGCCACTTCTTCTCGATCTCCTCGCTGAGGCGGCTCTGCTGGTCCTCGGTCAGGGGGGCGCCCAGGCCCCGGCGCGGCACCTCGCCGGCCGGCGTCTCCACAGACCTGCTGTCCGTGGCCTCGAACCACCTGCGGCGCTCCTCGGAGCGCTGGGCCAGGTCCCGCTCCAGCTCCTCCTGCTTGGCCGGGCGGTCGAGGGCACGGGCCGGGGTGCGGGCCCGCTGCGGGGAGCCCTGCGTCAGCGGGGAGAGCTCCACGTAGTCCAGGGCCTGCCGCTGCCCCTCCGCCTTCCGCGGGCCGCCTCGACCGAGGCCGTCAGAGCCCACCCGCTGCTCCCCCGCCTTCAGGGAGCCCCTCTGGGTGCCGTGCGGCGTGTTCTCCTTATTGCAGTCCGAGAGCCTAGGGCGCCAGCAGAGCCGCGTCAGGACGCGTCCGGTCCCCAAAGGAGCGCTTCCGGAGCGCCACCCATGTGCCAGGGGCCCAGGACAGACCCCGGGGGAGGAGCTACCCACTCTAGCGGTTACAACTAGAGCTTCACCGTGAACGGACCCCCAGAACCATCCCGGCTCCGACACTTAGCGGCAGGGCTGGCTTCCCTTCTTGACCCTCAGTGACCGCATCTGTGACATGGGACAGCAACGCCTCTCCTGGGATGGATGTGAGGACTAGGCAAGCACAGGTGCATAAAGGCACCAGAAGCCCTTTGCCAATGCCGACCAGAGAGTTATTCCAAAAGTGTGGCTTAAGGCAAGGTCCTGGGCTCACGAGGCTCGCAGTGGAACGGGGAAGACGTCCACGGTCACGGTTGAGGAGGTGAACAGTGACCTCTGGGTGCACAGGGCGCCAGCAGGGGCAGTCCTCCTCTTCTTCCCTTTGTTGCCCAACCCAAAACTACACTTCCCGGCATCCCTTGCAGCTGTGTGGCCACGTGACTACATTCTGCCCAGTGGTGCGAGAGGTGGGCCCCTTTAAAGGACTGAGCATGGCCTGGCCCGCCTCCTTGCTGGGACTCCAAGAGAAGAGAGCCAGGGACAGAGGTGTGAGCTGTGGGCCACAGAGCTGCCCCACCAGGCCTGGAGGACACACCCCTGGGCTGTTCTGGAGACAGAAAGAAATCTCTCCCTTATTTATGCCCCTAGGTTCGGGGCTTCTTTGTCACAGCAGGTGAGCCTACAGACTAAACAGCAGTCCGGCTGCACAGAAAACGGTCTAGAGACGGCTTCCGTGCACCTCCCTCGCGTGAAGGAGGTGTCACGCTCAGCACGACAGATAAGGAATGTGAAACTCATGGGGACATGGGGGGCGGGGGGGGGGCTCAGTTGGCTGGGAGTCCGATTTCGGCTCTGGTCATGATCTCGCAGTTCACGAGTTCGAGCCCTACGTCGGGCTCTGTGCTGACAGCTCAGAGCCTGGGGCCTGCTTCGGATTCTGCGTCTCCCTCTCTCTCTGCCCCTCCCCTGCTCTGCCCTGTCTCTCTCTCAGAAATAAATAGACATTTAAAAAATAAAAAATTTAAAAAAAAAGGGAATGTGAAACTCAGACAAGTCAGTCACTGGCCTGATGTTGAATAGCAATGGTATGGCCAGGTAGGGGGACTCATGCTGGGGCCCCCCAATACTATACTCTGTTCCTGATGTCCAACACTGCAATTCCCAGCTCCCCACCCCCCACAGGGGGCTAAGGTTCCTACTACGTAGAGGCTCTGCTCCCAGCTGACTCAGCCTTCCTCCCCTCTACTCACCTTCCACAGGGTGAGCCCCCCATCCAGCACCCTCTCTCTAACACAGGCTTAGATGTAGCTCCCACCTAGCGGGGGGCCTTTGACTCACTGGCATCCTCTCCAAAGAGTCCAGACCCCTCCTCCCCTTTCAGGATGTGGGGGACATAAAGGGACGGCAGTCAAACCTCAAATCCTCCAAGTATTTTCAGGTGGGGGGTGCCAAGAATGCTCACTGCCCTCTCTCCACTTTGTTAATGGAGAAACTGAGGCCCGGGAGGTACTGCCGCAGGGCCCTTGGTGCCAGAACCCCACTCAGGGAAGCAGGAGGGAGAGCCTCCTTTGAGGTCCCCGCCCAGCTGGGCACATACTTGGTGACATCCGGGGCAGACGTTGGTCGCACGGTCTTCCTCAGAGCCTCGATCCAGTTTCGCCGGATACCCGAGGTCATGGCCGACAAGGTGTAGACGGCATCCTTGGTCTGCAAGTCCACCCCACGGGCAGGTTGCCACATGGCCAGCCCCGCGGCTCCCTTGCCACTGTGCGCCCCAGGGAGGGCGGCCCCTCCCCACACCAGGAGGGCATCTAAGGTCCCGTGCCTTAGGACGAGCAGAGGGTGCAGTAGCTCCCCTCCCCCAGCTGGCTCCAACATTCCACCCCACCCCCCATGATAACTGGGTGGAGCCCATCGCCCCGATCAGGCCACCCCAGCCGCACGGGGTCTCACGTGGATCTGGAAGCCATAGTTGCGCTGGACCGCATACTCAGTGACGTCAGTGCAGGAGCGCAGGTCGATCTCGCCGTCCAGCTCGTCTGCCTGCAGCGGGAGGGCCAAGACTGTCCACGCATTCCACTCTCCCCACCTAGGGCCCCCCAAGCCCCTCCTGGGGACGCCCCCCTGCTTCTGCCAGCACCTGACGGGGGCGGGGAGCTTTCCCGCTCTGTCTCACCTCCTCGGCGGTGGAGTCCCTGTAGTACTTGAGGCTTGAGTCTGTCAGCACAAACCAATGCTTCTTCCACTACAAAGGAGAGGTGGCGGTGAGCGAGGGGAGGGGGGCGGCAGGGAGGGTGGAACGATCTGCAGCCGTCCTGGGTGCTGCCAGGTCGACAGTGGGGCCCTGGCACCCTCATCCGCCCTGCTGGGGGGTGGCTGGGGGTGGTGGTGGCGGGGGGACAAAGAAGAGTCAGAAAGTCCAGATTTTGAACACTGGCCCTTCCAGGGACAGCATCTGTGAAATGGGTTGCCTTTTCCTCGGTGACCACACCTCCTTCCCTTTCCTCCTGGGAGCCCTCCTCTGGTTGGCTGACAGTGCCACAGCCCTCCTGACCCTCTCCAGCAAGATCACCAAAGCTCCTACAGGAACAGTCCCCCCCCCACCCCCCCGCCCAGGCCCAGTGCAGACCAGGAAGGGGCCATGACCTGTGTGAGGCCATTCACGTAGCGAGTCAGGGAGCAGAACTTTTGCAAGTCGTTTTCCCAGGACAAGTCTCCCAGAGTAAGACTGGAAGGTGGCCTGGGGGGAGGGAGGTGTCTGAGCACGGGTCCTATTCTGGTTCTTGATCTGGATGCTGGCTACACGCGTCCAGCTTGAGTGCGTTACCTGCACATTTATGCTCTGGGCCCCTTCCCGCAGTGCCTCTCTCTGCTCCGGCAGGGGCTGGGCTGCCAGGACTCACGGGGAAGGGGAAGGGCATCACCACGGCTGATATTACATAGGCCGGGCTCAGCCCACCTCTGGCCTTCCGGCCATTCCCCGGAATGCCTGTCAAGGTCCGCCCACTACCAGGGCCAGCACATACCCCCCAGGTCTCAGCCCTCCTGGGGCTCCCCCCAAACTCTATCCACGTTATTTCAAATACTTAGTTCTCTTTCCTCAAGAAGATGGCAAGTTTTCAGGGATGTGCCAGAATGACACCTCCGACTTCTTTCTACACGGCCTCCTCTAACAAATAGGGTTTGAGGGGCGCCTGGGTGGCTTGGTCGGTTAAGCGTCCGACTTCAGCTCAGGTCACGATCTCGCGGTTCATGGGTTTGGGCCCTACATCGGGCTCTGGGCTGACAGCTCGGAGCCTGGAGCCTGCTTCGGAGTCTATAGATCCCTCTCTCTCTGTGTCCCCCCTTTCCTGCTCACTCTCTCTCAAAAAATAAATGTTAAAAAATTAAAAAAAAAAAAAAAAAAAAAGGAAATAGAGCTTGAACCTCCAGAGAGACCTAGGTCACAATGATTTTATCCCTCGCTGTGTGTCTTTGGTCAAGTATCTCGACCTCTCTGAGCTTCAGTCTTCTGACTTGTAAAGAAGGGCTGATAAGAAGGTTAGAAGTATCTATCCTTCCCGTTGTAGGTTTCGCACGGCGCTTAGCATAGAGGCATGCACCAGGTGACGGGGAAAGGTCCCCAGAGTGGACTGGGTTGCTGTCCCTCTGCAATGCAGGGCAGGAGTCCTGTTCTGGACGGTCTCTTTGGCCCGTCCAGGTTAGGCTGTGATGGCCGAGGAGCTAGATGGAGCTCCATGGCCTTAGGCAGCCCAAGTTCTAGGCCTCGGTCTCGCGGAGCGGCTGCTATGGGCCCAGGAGAGGCGGAAGCTCTGTGGGCCCGTCTCCTGTCCACCCACCAAGGCGCTGGGCTGGCTGGACTCCCAGGGCCCCTCCAGCACGGACATTCCAAAACGCTGTGAAAGACGAGGAGTAGCAGCCAGCGCTGGGTGGGGCCTGTGATCTCTGCCCTCCAGAGACCCTGGGTGGGGGGGCCGGGGAGGGTCACTGGCAGGGCGCCAGGCCTCATGCGAGCCTGGAGCGTAGCCGTGGGGGGGGGGGGGGGGGGGGGGGGGGGGGGGGGGGGGGGGGGGAAGGTGGCGCTGGCGAGCGGGCAGCAGGGACGGATAAAACGTGTGGGCAGGAAACACAATGACAGTCCCTTTGGCTCCAAGCCCTGCCCCGAGGCCTCCCCCGCATGCGAGTGACGGGCGCATGCAGGGCAGGGGCGGGGGGACGTCCCCTCCCAGGCTTGGCGGGTGGGAAGCCAGCTCCCGGACTCCATCAGCCTGGCAGCCGAAAGGGCAGAGCCAGCTAGAGGCCACTGTCCCTCCTGGTTCTAAGGACGGACACGGTAGAGAAAGGGAAGGGCTGGGGCGTCTGGGTGGCTCAGTTGGTTAAGTGTCCGACTTCAGCTCAGGTCATGATCTCACGGTTCGTGGGTTCAAGCCCCGCGTCAGACTCCTGCGTTGGGGTCAAGGCTGACAGCCAGCTCAGAGCCTGGAGCCTGTCTTCAGATTCTGTATCTCCCCCTCTCTGTGACCCTGCCCTGCTCACTCTATCTCTCTCTCTCTCAAAAATAAATAAAACATTAAAAAAAAAAGAAAGAGAGAGAGAAAGGGAAGGGCTATCCACGGAGCTACAGCAGGGGGCCTCCGCAGCTCGACCTCTCTGACCCTGCAGTCTACCCTGGAAAAGAATCCTCATTGTCCATCATGCCCATTTCATAGATGTGGCCCCTGAGGCCAGAGGACTTAACCAGTGGAGCCCCAGGTAGGTGAGACTTCCGAGCCTGTGCTCTGAGGCTCACTTCTCTGGGGAGGGAGAGGTTCCAGTGTGGCCAAAGTCATTGGGAGTCTGTAATGTCTCAGGCCACATGATCTCCGTGAGCTCTTCCACCCCAGACCCTCGGACCCAAAGGGGACAGAGCCCAGGGGCTCTCAGTGAGAGGAAGGGATAGGGCATAGGGTGTGAGGGGCCAGGAGGCTTCTACCCCTGCCACCTTGTGTGCCTGCAGACTGTCCTAGGAGGCCAAGATGACAGTGGCCTCCACTTCGCAGCCCCTCAGCCCGAGGCCCTCCCCGACTGCACGAGATGTGCCTGGCCTCACGGTGCCCATGCTGAGCCCACCCGCGGCCCTCCACGCAGAGGCCAGCCTCTCTAGAAGGCCCAGACAAGCCATGGAAGCAGCTCAGACTCCGCGGCTGCCCCCAGATCCCCCTGGGGCCCTGAGGCTGCACTGGCCAACCCCGCCCTTCTGCGTGCAGCCCTCCTACCTCTCCAGGTTCGTCCAAGATCGACATCCATCCCTTCTTGAAATTGAGCAGGTCGGGCTACGGAGAGATGAGGAGGCAGATGATTTAGGCCTGGCGGGGAGCCAACCGGGGCTGGGGAAGAAGGCATGTTGTACCCATCCTGCCCCCCGAGGCCTGTGAGACTGATGTCCTGGAAAGCCAGGAGAGGTGGCTGGCCAGAAGAGGCGCCTGGGTGGCTCAGTTGGTTAAGCGTCCGACTTCGGCTCAGGTCATGGTCTCACGGTTTGTGGGTTCAAGCCCTGCGTTGGGCTCTGTGCTGACAGCTCAGAACCTGGAGCCTGTTTCAGATTTTGTGTCTCCCTCTCTCTCTGACCCTCCCCTGCTCATGCTGTCTCTCTCTCTCAGAAATAAATAAAACATTAAAAAAAAATTAAAAAGAAAAAAGAAAAAGAAAGCCAGGAGAGAGGGGGCTGAGGGTGGCCCAGGTAACCCACAAATCCAGGCAGGTCCCCCAACCACTGACAATCTTGGCCCATTTCCCTGACAATCTCTGAGAGCCAAGCCGGCAGGCAGGGTGACTGGCACATCGGCCACAGGTGGCCAGGCTCCCCTCCTCCCAGCCTACTTCCTCTCCAAAGAGCGGGCGAGAGACCCCAGAGAGCGTTGATTACAGCCTGAACCAGCAGGGCTGAGCAAATGGTCCAGGCGCTCTCACCACCAGGAAAATGCCCTTAATGCCCCCGCTCACCCCCAACCCACGGGCCCCGCTGTGGTCCCACCAGCCCTGCCCTTTCCTTGTCTCCTGGAGCCTCTGAGCGATGGAACCAGGCCCAGGCTGGGGTCAAAGATCAGGGTTCCCCCCTCCTGCCCCCCCCCCCGAGATCTCTGGAAGGGCCAGGAAGATGGCACTTCAATCGAGGCAAGCCCTACCTGTCGGGTGCTGCCCAGGGGGGCACGGCCTTGGGGTCTGGGGGCTCCCGGCCGCTGCATGTTGTGAGCTAGGTACCCCTACCTGGGCCTAGATGCAGCAGCTGATCACCCAGATGTTTTCTCCGGCCACGCCCATCTGGTGGGCTCTGGCCACCTGACCCTCCCTGCCTACCACCAGCAGACTTCTCTCTCTCTCTCTCTCCCCCCTAAGTCCTAGTACCTCAGCAGAGTGTCAGCCTCTGGCCGCTGGTGGGGAGGAGCGCGGGGCGGGCCAGGCTGCAGGCAGAGAGGAGGTGGCCACCTGTCGCTATGGCCCTGAGCCCACCTATCAGTACTGGCATCGCGGCCTCACCAGGCCAAGGTGTCTGGTTGCGTGGAAGGAGCTTGCGGCGCAGCGCAGGGGGGTGGGCTGCATAGACAGCAGCTGGAAACCAGAGCCGCCTGAGCCGGCTGCCTCCCCTGATCTGCCCTCCTCCCCATCTCCTCTTCCTCAGGTGCAGGAAGTGGCCTAAGAGGGGCCTGGGCCGGCAGCCTGGACATCCAGAGCCAGCCACAGCCCAGGCTGTGCGGCCAGGGCCACTGGATCTCAGCAAGCCGGCCCAGAGGCCCCACCCCTGCCCCACCCCTGAACGGCAGCCCCTCCCCGCATACCTGTCTGAGGGAGGGGACCCAGGCTCAGCTTGGAGCTGGGAAGCCCTGGGGCTGTGTTGGCCCGGTCTCTAGTCTTCCTCACCCTGTTCCCCATAAGTGCGGAGGGGCTGCCTGGGGTGGGGGGTGGGGGGTGGTCCCAAGCTAAGACTGAAGCCGGGCAGCTACACGTGGAGCCGCCAAGTCATCCGGGTAACCCCCATCCAGACTGGGACCTCTAGTGACCCCCAAGGCCTGGCATGCGGTGACTAGGCCTCAGTAAAATCCTGCTGAATAAACATCATTCCCCTTCACCTTCCTGGTCGAAATTCCTGTGCTTTGGGGACAGTCTCCACCCCCCCCACCCCCCCACCCCCCCGCCGGCTCTGAGAAGTCAGGCTATCTGGGGTGGCCCAGAGAGTGGCCTTGCTGTGCTGGTCTAGGAGAAAGCCCAAGGGAAGGACGAGCAGACAACGTGGCCACTCAGACTGGGCTGGGGCTGAGGGACCAGCCATGGGTTTCCAGAGCTGAGCAAGGGCTCCCCGGCTAGAATGACAGACTGGGGCCCCAAGGGGTGCCTGGGAAGCAGCGGGGGGAGGAGGAGGGGTCCCTGTGACCTTCCTAGGCCACATCCCCTCCCTGAGCCCTGACTGCCTAATGCAGCAAATGATGCTGGGGGTAGGGGTGCAGAGGTGGGGGTCCTGCCCTCCCCGAAGCCTTGTGAGAGGGCTGAACGAGCTACGCGTGGAGAAGCTCCGTGACCCTCTGGAAGCTCGTACAAACACCCCAGGAGCACATCAGGCACGAGATGGGCACAGTGACCTTGGAGGGAGGAGGCTGCCAATGTGAGATTTTAAACCCGCTGGCGGCGGGGGGGTGGAGGGGGTGGGGGGGTGGGGGGGGCGGGTCCTGCAGTCACCTGGGAACCTCTGTCCAGTGTCAAGAGGTCTGCTAGCCTGAGTCCCTCATGTCGCATCCTTCGCTCAGGCCCAGCCACCCCGCCTCCACCCGAAGCAGCTCAGGAGTCCTGAACAGCTCTCACAGCCTGCCCTCTCCTCCCTTCGGCCATGGCCATGGCCACGGCCACAGCGGAGGCCATGGCTCAACACCACCTCCCGCCCGCCTGGACCACTGACGTGGCCTCCTCTAAGCACAGAGCATCTCAAAAAGGCCTAGCGTCCCAAGTCATGCTTCCAGCCTGGCCTCCACCTTGCGGAGGGAACCCCATTTTTATATCACCACCAATGCTCCCCAATCCCCAACACATCGGGATGCCAGGCCCTCCACACCAGCCCATGCTCTCTGCCTAAATATCAGCCTTCCTCCTCCTCCACGGACCAGGCAAACCTCTGCTCGTGCCTTAAGGCCCAGCATTCAATGCCCCCTCTGAGGCCCCTTTCCCTGTACACACCACACCGTGCCAGTGCCCTCTCACAGCCTCCGTGGCATTTGTGATTATCTTGAAGCCACTGACTTATCTGTCACAGGCTAGAGTAGAAGCAACTTGCAGTTGTGGACATGCGCTTAGACCCAGAGGCTAAGAGACGGTTTGGTTTTAAAAAAAAAAAAAAAAAAAAAGCACCAGGCACTGTTTCAGGGCAGGAAATCAGCTGTCATTGGGAGAGGTGGACCCTGCCCTGGAGGAACTTAGGAGACAGACAGACAATAAACAAGTGGACAGGTATATAATTTGATGCCAGGCAGTGGCTCGGGCTTGAGGCTCCGAGGGCAGGGCTACGCGGGGCTACGGCAAAAAGAGGTGGAGCAGATCTGGATGCCAGGCCCCCGCTTCCCGAAGCCTTTAAGCATTTACCCATTCAGAGCCACTTTACCACTTGCTTCCTGCAGATCTCCGAGCTCAGGGCTAGGGGTGAGGATAGAGGCAAAGGGTGCGAAGAGACCCAGGCTGGGTGGGGTGGGGGAGGCGGACACCAGGCTGGGGCAGGCTCAGGCATCAAGGCAGCCACGAAGAAGCCAGAAAGCACCGTCAGTGGTGGTCATGAGCCTCCTCTCTGCTCCAAAACCTCCCTTGGCTCTCCAGTGCCCCTGACCAAAGCCTAAACCGCTTCTCCGAGCCTTGGGGGCCTTCCTTCCCAGGCCCCTTTTCTATGTTGTCACCACTCCCCAAACACGACCGCCAGTCTTTGCCTACACTCTTCCAACCCGCCATCCATTTTCACCTGACAAGGCCCTACGGTCACAGTCGGGCATCTTCCTTTGGAAAGCCCCTTCCCACCACAGGGAGACGCCCTTCAAGTGTCTCCATAGCAGCCTTACCCTTGTTCAGTGTGCGTTTCCTCAAGAGAGGCGACACTGTACATTTCTTATCTAGCCCCAGAGAGAAAACTGGGGCAGACCGAGATACAAATGCTGGCTCTGCTAAGACCCAGCTAGGTCGCCCGGGGCATGTTATGTCCCCTCTCTCCACCTCAGTGTTCTCATCTGTTAGATGGGAACCACCCTTTAGAGGATCAACTCTGGGAGCATGAAAGCACCCAGTTTAGGACCTGGCAGGCACCCAGTAGGCAATGCAACCACCCTCCCCCTCTCCCCACCCCCACGGGGCCTGGGGCTTGGGGCCTGGGGGTGGGTGGCCAGGACACTGACTCAGCTCCTCCCCCCACATCCCTGTCGGCTCTCTGACCAAAGGGGGGCTGCTGACGACAGGAAGAGCCGGCAGGGAGGTGGCAGGATGTGCGGAGGCCGAGGAAGTCCAAACAGCGGCCAGGTCACCGCGCTCGCAGGGGCAGGGGCCCTGAGGGCCAACCCGCAGCAGCCCTGCTCACTTCTCGCTGGGGGTCTCCACTACCTAGAGGAAAGGGGACGTGCGCATGCGCACACGCACCGGCTCGACTCCACCACCCCACCCGCCTAGGCTGTCAGAGCCTCCCTAAGGCGCTAGCCAGAAACCAAAAGCAGCCCCGCCCCTCCCTTCCAGAACATCACGGTCAAGGGGCCAGACTGACCTGGAAAGAGGCTACTCCTTCCTTTTCACTCAGAGTAACCTCGGGCAAGTCACCGCCGCCCCTCCCCAAGCCTCAGTTTCTCTAATTGTAAAATGGGAATAAAGGTCAACCCAGCTGCGAGGCTCAATACGATCATTAAGGCGCAGGTATTGATGTCACCGGGGTAGTGCTCATTCCCAGAGAGAGAGACGAGTCTCTGCCATCGTGTCCCCCACCCCACTCGTGGGCTTGCTCCCAGCCAAGGCCCCAGCGCCGCCGCGAAGTGGCAAGCCGGGGAGAACACGGCTTCGTGCCGCTTCGGAAATCCCAGGACGGGCTCCCGGACAGGGTGGGACGGGGCGGCTCCTTCTCACCCACTCAACCTCGGGCGCCCACGCGGGTAGGCAGCCCTCCCAGGCCTGGATCAGCGCGACCCATTCGAGCCGGGAGGGCCCCTCTCCAGCCCCGGGACGAGACCCCAGACCCAGGCCAGGACCCTCTCCGCTCCTCCCACTGCCCGGAGCCCTGGGAGTCCCTACGGGCCTGGCAGCTTGGGAGAATCAGGTCAGGTCTTCA